GTTTTTCCGCGGAAGAAACATAATTGTCCAAGGTATACCGGAAAATGCAAACAGTACTTGAGGCTCAAACACATACTGACTCAGCATGTGACGAGACTAGCCAAGAAGGACGGTGATCTTAGACCCCGTCTAATGAAGATAATCTTCCCATCTTCCCACATGGCGGCTGCAGTTCTGGAAGCATTTCGTGCCAACAGACGTCGATTGCCACCTGGAGCCCACATGCACCCGGATAGGCCATATGAAGCTAGGACCAAGTACAAAGGCAAGTTGGAGCTGACCATTCCACTTGTGGACTGCCTAAATGATAAAAAAACGTGTAAAGGACAGGGCCTATCACCTCGGCAAACCTTATATAGGTGGGCTACCTGTCCATTCACGTAAGGCTCATACAGACAAACAGGACAAAGCTCACGCGTTCCAAATTGAAAGCATAAACTGCTTATATATGAACGCCGCGAGTCTACCAAACAAACTGGATGAACTACGTGAACTTAGCAAAGCTAATAAGGCCCATCTGATAGGAATATCTGAAACCTGGATATCTTCTCAGTTCTCGGACCAAGAGTTAGCATTGCCTGGGATGACTTTGTTCCGCAACGACAGAAAAACAGGAATTGGGGGCGGAGGAGCCATATACATAAGCTCTTGCTTGGAGGTGCACCAGGTTCACAACCTCGAGTTTAACAATCTTGAGGAATCCATATGGTGCTTTGTAAGATTGTCTAGTACTTCCAGGTGTCTAGTCGGAGTCATTTACAGGAAGCCAACTGCCGACACCGAGTACGATAGTCGTATGCTGGAAGGACTATCCCGCTCTATCCGTCTCGGTTTCACACACATTCTGATTCTAGGGGACTTTAATCTCCCTAGAGTCAACTTCGCGGAACACACGTACACTGGAGGCGACAACTCAACTGAAGCTCGGTTCTTCAACCTCATCGATAACTTGGGCTTATATGAAAATGTGAGGTCGGCAACTCGTTGGAGAAACAGCCAGACACCATTGCGCTTAGACTGTGTATTCACTAACGAAGAATTCCTAGTCGACAACCTCTCAATCCTGGCTCCTCTGAGAAAAAGCGATCATGCCGTCATAGCCTTCAGTTTTGTCATCAAAACTAAGCTAAGGTATCCCAACAATAATTTGCGTCGGAATTTTAAACGGCTGGATGTGCCAGCTCTAACTGACTATCTACAACAGGTGGTTTGGGATGTTCACCCTCAACTCGATGTGGATGGTCACTGGGACTTCTTACTGCACACGCTCTTATGTGCTACAGACCATTCAGTGCCTCAAACGGTTCCCAAAAGCTTCAAGCCACCTACAGTAATCAAGAACCGTACCCTTCGCCTGCTAAGCCGCAAAAGGCACTGTTGGGCGGAATACAAACGAACTAATAACGATGGAGCGTATAGGCAATACAAACATATCAGGAACATATGCACGAAGGCTATAAGAGAAGACAGGCTTCAGTACCAAACAAGGCTTATAGACAAATTCGCCTCTGACCCTAGAAGCCTATTCCGTTATGCAGCCTCTCTTTGTCAAGCCAAAACAGGAGTTTCTCAACTGCTAGGTCTTAACGACCCGACCAACAACGATGGCGACGCCGCTAACCTTCTGGCGGCACATTACTCTCAAACATTTCAACCGGCTGACATCAACTTTATTGACGACAGTTTCATTTGCAACTCCACAGGACTTTCTGAAGCGGACTTAAGCGCTGACTTGGTGTTCCGGAAATTGCAGCACTTAAGACTTGACACTTCTCCTGGCCCGGACATGGTTCATCCTGCTATACTGATGGAGGCAGCCTCAATCCTGGCAACGCCGATTAGCGTGATGTTTTCACACTCGCTTAGCCGAGGCAAATTACCGTAAAATTGGAAGTTGGCTCACATAACACCAATTTTCAAAGGTGGTCGACGCAATGAACCTTCAAGTTATCGGCCGGTGGCTCTTCTGTCATTACCTTCAAAACTCATGGAGTCCCTGATATGCGACGGTTTAAATGACTATCTACTGTCCTTAAATTTCTTCTCACCCCAACAGCATGGTTTCAGGAAGGGTGACTCTTGTATAACCAACCTGCTGACTGCGGTGGACAGATGGACAAGCATCCTCGATCGCAAGGGAAAGGTTGACGTCATTTACCTTGATTTCTCAAAAGCTTTTGATAAGGTTAACCACTTGTGTCTTATCAACAAGCTCAAACGACTAGGTATCAAACCACCTCTAATCGATTGGCTTACTTCATACCTAAAAAATCGACACTTTAAGGTTAGGGTTAATTTCACTTTATCTCAGTCTATGGAATGTCCTAGTGGGGTCCCCCAGGGCTCAGTACTAGGGCCTCTTCTCTTCTTGATCTACATAAATGATCTTCCTCAACAGGTAACGTCAGACTTATTACTTTTTGCCGACGACGTGAAACTTTGGATAGAGATACGCAACCAAGACGATACGCAGGCACTTCAGGAGGATCTGACGCGACTTCAAAGTTGGGCAGACGATAACGGACTTACCTGTAACACTTCAAAGTGTAAAGTAGTCAATCTGCGACATGTCGCAAACTACAGTTACAAATTAGGAAACTCCTCTCTAGTAGTATCCCAAGTCGAAAAAGATTTAGGAGTCCTGGTGCCCCATGACTTAAAGTCTTACGCTAACTGTGACAAAAATGCCTTCCGTGCAAACCTTGCACTGGTAACGTTGAGGCGCATTTTTGGCCAGTTTGACGGAAGAACTTTCCACACAATCTTCAATAGTTTCATCCGTCCCCATTTAGAGTACGGAAACATAGTACTCCCCCCCTCACTCCAAAAGGACAAGGTCACTTTGGAGCGTATCCAACGGCGAGCCACGAAATCAGTTCGAGGACTCAAATCTAAGCCTTACGAAGAACGCCTCCGTTCACTAGACCTTTACTCACTAGAATATAGGCGTCTTAGAGGTGATTTATTAATGGCTTATAGTATTCTTAACACTTCTGGACATCCTCTTAAACACCTACTTAAGCTTAGTTCGAACAATAACCTAAGGGTTAACAGCCAGAAACTGGAAACACAACATAGCAAGACGGAATGTAGACACAACTTCTACTCCTTAAGAGTTGTCAAAAGCTGGAATTCGCTGCCGGCCGAGCTAGTCCAAGTGACTTCTCAGGAGTCCTTCAAGAGGCAACTTGACCTATTCTTAAGGACCAAGGACAGCATCACATTATGATTTACCAATTTCAGATTCAGATTTTTTCAGATTTGTGTAGTAAGGACAGAAGGCCTACGGCCTATGTTATTCCTTTTCTAGTATGCTTCTGTGAGTGTCCAGTCTTCTCTTGAAAGAGTCAATTGAAGGTGCGGATACCACTGCTTCAGGCAGCAGGTTCCAAGTATTGATGACTCGGTGTGAAAACCTGTATGTCAGGGGTATTTTGTTCGTTCTTGGCTTTTCTACTCGCCTGCTATGTCCTCTGAGGTGTCCCGATCTAGTGGGAAGAAAGAGAAAGAATAAGTTAGGTCCGAAATCATTTCTCAGTATTCTGTACATCAATATTAGATCTCCCCTTAGTCTGCGATAGGACAGAGTAAAGAGGTTCAGTTTTTCAAGCCGCTCTTCATATGATAAACCCCGGAGTTCCGGAATTGCACGCGTAGCTGCCCTCTGTACCTTTTCTAGTATGTCTGAGTCACCTTTTAAACAGGGGCTTGCAGCCTAAACACAGTTCTCTAACTTAGTTCTCACTAAGGATGTGTATAATGTGGTGAACATGGTAGTATCAAGCTTAGTGAATGTCCTTTTTAAAGCCCAGAGGGTTCGAAACCCCTTAACTGCGACCTCCCGGCAATGGGCCGTCGTCTTAAGATCATTGCTCAGTGTCACCCCTAGGTCCTTATGAGACCGGACTATGGGTAATGACACATCCCCTATGTTGTACGTATTAACCTTTGAATCCCCCAAGTGCATGTAGACACACTTTTCCGAGTTGATAGGCATTAGCCACTCTTTAGACCAGTTTATCATATTATTTAAGTCCGCCTGAAGAGTAAATGCGTCTGTGTCACCAGTTATTACTCGCCAAATTTTTACATCGTCAGCGTATAATAACATTGGAGACTGTACTATACTTGTAAGATCATTAACGTACATTATAAAAAGTAAAGGACCTAGGACGGAACCTTGGGGTACTCCACTAAGTACTGGTCTCCAGATGGAGCACTTGGAATTTATTCTTACTTTTTGCCTACGACCTACTAGGAAATCCTTAATCCATTTTAAAAGAGGTCCGGCAATACCAAGGTTTGCCAACTTCAATAGCAGTCTATTAGTTGGCACCTTGTCAAAAGCCTTACTGAAGTCTATGTAGACAACATCCACTGAGTTTCCGTTGTCTAGCGCATTAATCCAGAGCTCCCTAGCTATAAGGAGGTTCGTTGTACAGGATAGACCCTTTCTAAAACCATGTTGTGCCATGTTCAGCAAGTTATTGGTTTCCATAAATGCCGTTATGGTCCGTTTGATTATCCCTTCCAGTATTTTAATTACAACACTGGTGAGGCTTACGGGTCTGTAATTTGATGGAACTTGTCGTAGACCAGTTTTATGTATGGGAGTGACGATTGCGTCCTTCCAGTCCATAGGTAACACACCTTGGTCAAGTGACATTTTGAATATCACAGTCAGTGGGGCTGCGATATATTGGGCAATATGTCTCAAGATTTTAGGGTGTAGTTCATCTGGTCCTGTTGACTTCTCCATGTTTAGGGTGCTAAGAGCCTTAAGCACATCGTTTTGGTCGAAGTCCACGGTGAGCAGCTGGTTTGTTGACTCTGTAATTGGGTCTGGTTCTTTAGAAAAGTGTAAGGGAAATTATCATCAACCTTTTTTATTGTTAACATACCTAGGTTCCTGCCTGGAGGATTTGATGATCCCCTGCTACTAGACACGGAAGCCTGTTAAGCGAAAGCTTCTTCTATTCCGTCCACAACCATTTGAACCATTTGAACCATTTGAATCTTCACGCGCTTGGATCTAATTATGCGCTCCAATGTAGTGTGTGTGAGGTTATCGGTTTTCTAGGTGAGATATTTTGTGAATGATTTCTAATATGGTTGCGACTTTTATCTCCTGTAAACTTCCATTAACGAGTGTTAATTATTCTTGCTTTTAATAATGTGAATACCAGGAATTCACCATTAACCTAGTATATCAAGATGAGTCATCATTAAGTGTAAGTATCGTTAAAGACGAGGAGTCACTGATCACCAAATATTTAATCTTATATGATATCTTGTCTTCTTCCAAAGGGCTCAACAGTCCCAACGAAATTTTCGCACTTTACTTTCAACTTTTATTTTAGACAAAGTTCTAATTTCAGTTTGGAAAGGACAGGAGACTTGATGGCATGTGTTAGTCTTAGCAGTCATGGTCTTTCAGTTGATCCAACTTTCTGTTGAAACAGTTGATAAGAGAGTCAATAGCCAGCTGATAAGTAATTTGTTGTGGGCTTGTGAACTTTTTTCGAGTGTCCTCGTAAATTCTCTGTTTTGGAAGACAAGAAAAATGTGGGCATATCAGGTGCAGATTTACCACTAAGCAATTTGAAAACGGTAATCAAGTCACCTATAGTTCTCCTATACGACGACGGGAATAGGTTTAGTTTAGCCAGTCGGGCATCATGCGGGAGCTTCGCTATTCCGGGAATTAGCTTGGTTGTTGTCCTCTGAATCTTTTCCAAAATCTCACTGTCTTTTTTTAAGCAGGGGCTAGCCGCTTGTATGCAGTACTCAAGTTTAAGACGCACGAACACGAAATTAAAAATGTTTTAGCGTCGACATGACTAAAGGCTCTACGCATTGACTATAGGGTTTTTAAATCTTTGGCGGCTATCGCACGGCAGTGTGCAGTAGTCTTTAAGTCTTGGATAACGATGTTCCCTAAGCCATTTTGTGTCTGGACAACAGGTAACTCCATGTTACTCGTCATGTATGTATCTATACCTTTATGACCGATATGCATCACAATACACTTGGGAGTATTTATCAGTAACTGTCGGGTTTGAGACCATTTAAATAATTTCTCCAGGTCATTTTAAAGTTCTAAGCTATCACCCTTATCGTTCTACATATCTTGACATCGTCAGCATATAGCAAGACCGATGGTGATAGACGGGGAAGGTCATTTACATATAAGAGGAAATGAAATCATAGCTAACTTGATGCAAATAACCATCTGGTTGTTTAGGACTATCTAAGTATTTTAACGCAGCCATCCAGGATCGCTCATAGTACTGGTTGTTGCACTGAAGATTTTGAATAGCTATATGGTGTTGCAAACCTTTATTATATCTATCGGGGTATATTTTACACTGAAGCAACCATGGCCTGTTCCGAGATTATACTGGTTAGAGAACAAGCAAGCTGGAAATTATGATTAAAAAGACTAAAAGGTGAGTGTGAGTTTCATGAAACTTAGTCCTAGACTACAGTCTTATAACTGATTTCTAAACACTCAATGTCATTTATACTATTTCTCCTCTCCTGAATGAAACTAAACTACATTTGAAATATTCCCATATTGTAAATTTAGAACAACATATATAAGCGAACAATATTGTTTTCGATTAGATCCTCATCAGGCTTTACTCTAATATACAGTAATATTTATATGCATATACGAAATTATTAAACCAATCAAGGTAGTTTACAAGTCAATGATAACAATGGAAAAGATTACATAATAAGTAAAATGTGAAAAGTACAAATTGATGGTGTGACAACAGGTGCATTAGTTTTTTGATAAGCAATAATAATAAAGGTTCAAATCAATGTTACATAATCTGAAATAGGTCAATGATTAGAAAAATATAGAAACTGAGATAACAATTATAAAATTATAAGATGACGTAATAAGAAATGTTCAGATAATTGGACCATGAAACGTATAGTTGAGAGAAAATAAAGTGGTAGGAGGGTGTGAAGAAAAATAATAAACAAAGAGAATAAATAAATAAATAAATACATTCATTTATTACTTAAGGCCAAGGGAGAGATAAGAGAGTTACAAATTTCTTCTGGACACAAAGACTTGGCTTGTTGGCTCGAATTCCTATAGCTTCTGCTATGTGTAAGAGACTATATCGGGCGCACTACCAGGCAACTGAACCGACGAGTTAGTGAACACCTCCCTTCGTGGTTAGGAAAAGGCTATGTCAAAACAATACGCAGCTCGGTTCTATCACACTTGATCGATAGCGGTCATATGGTGGACAGAAACAAGTCGTTCAAAGTTATTTATCGGATTCCCACTAGTTTTCCTTATGGTGTTCGATCTCGTCTCTTACACATAGCAGAAGCTATAGGAATTCGAGCCAACAAGCCAAGTCTTTGTGTCCAGAAAAAATTTGTAACTCCCTTATCTCTCCCTTGGCCTTAAGTAATAAATGAATGTATTTATTTATTTATTTATTCTCTTTGTTTATTATTTTTCTTCACACCCTCCTACCACTTTATTTTCTCTCAACTATACGTTTCATGGTCCAATTATCTGAACATTTCTTATTACGTCATCTTATAATTTTATAATTGTTATCTCAGTTTCTATATTTTTCTAATCATTGACCTATTTCAGATTATGTAACATTGATTTGAACCTTTATTATTATTGCTTATCAAAAAACTAATGCACCTGTTGTCACACCATCAATTTGTACTTTTCACATTTTACTTATTATGTAATCTTTTCCATTGTTATCATTGACTTGTAAACTACCTTGATTGGTTTAATAATTTCGTATATGCATATAAATATTACTGTATATTAGAGTAAAGCCTGATGAGGATCTAATCGAAAACAATATTGTTCGCTTATATATGTTGTTCTAAACTACATTTATCAGACGCGCATGTCCCTAGTTTTATCTCGGGTTTGTGATGAAAACATTTAGTTATTCTTTAGACAATGGTTAATTAACTAGTGTTATCAACATTTTTTGTTTCAGTGATGTCGACCTATGTAGACATCTCTACTGTGTTCAATTTCGACCACAGAGGTCAATATGTTGAAATTTCCCCCGATAGAACGAAAGCTCGTCGTCAAATAGGTTTTTGTGATGGGGTAGTTATTTCTCAAAGCTTCATCCGACCAGGCGAAGTGGTAGCTGTCGAAATTACAGAAACACAGCGAGGTTGGACTGGGGATTTGAGAGTCGGATTCACTTTACTACCGGATAACTTGCTCTTGCCTCTTCCCAGGTAAAGTGACATAGTCTATTGAGTAACTTAATCATGTTTGTCGTGTGTAAAATTATTAACATAGTTTTCAACAGCCTTACGGTGCTATATCGCCACTAGTTGTTTCTCGTAGTATGTAAATGGGTTTTATTTTCGTAGGAAAGTCTGTGTGACTAAGATTCCGGTGTACATCATATTTCTATAAAAACAATAAAAGCAATAATCAAATGAACAAAATCCCATTTACTTGCCTTGCTTTATCTGTAATTCCATGTAAATATCAGAAATCAATGGTGATTTGCAGATTTTTATTATGTATGAGTCCCAAAGAATAATTTATTTGATATTGGCTGGTAATATTTTGTGAGTCAAAGGTATCAGTAATGATTAGTTTGATATAAAAGAGAATCGGTGTAGCACTTTATAGTTTATTAAAGATTCCCATTGTATTGTTCTAACTTTATAGTTTGTGGCTTAGGGATTGAGGAAGTACTGACTGAGAGTGATTAATATCAGATAAACCAATATGGTAAATCATGGCGTGATACCCTTGTTCGATAATTACTCGTCTTTCTGCTACACATTGAAATCTTATAATCGGTAGATTTCGTAGCATACAACTATTTTTCTGTCTTCAACCCAAGAATGCAATCACTATAGTATTATCAATAACGTTTCTAGTGAAAATAACTTAAGAATAATATACGTGATTACCTTTACTTGTTTTGACATGGATTTGAACAAATTAGACGAGTGTGAGAAATAGAAGTAGACTTTTCAAGGTACTTTTTCCAAAAACTAAGCATGTTGACTCCGTTTCGTAACCATACTTGTAACGATTTATTTGACCATTCATAACTAGAAACATCTGATTTCCACTAAGTTCACTTCATCTATGAGTTAAAGCGAATAGCTACATTTACCTGTGAAAAGGGAGAAATACATATAAGTTGCAGAACTATTTCCCTAAGTGAAATTAGCGTCCTAAAGTATCGGATGGTATCCATGAAGAGAAATGTAAAAATGGGAGGTTCAGTTAAGGATTCAGACTGGTAAACTATATCAAAAGCTATTTCGAATCCTGAATCTCTATCGTCAATATTTATATACTCACTTTGTTTGATTAATTTCGTTCCATCCCAATTCTTTTTTAGATGGTAATCTTAAAAGTATTCAATGCAGAAAGGAATGTTGCTTCACTAGTTGTATAGTTCAACCCTTTTTTATAATACACGAAGCCCCATTGGTTCCACGAAATGTAGTAGTACTTATCAGTTTCTAGCTTTGCCTCAAAAGTGCGTGTTGATAATGTTATCCATATGAACAAAGGGGACTTCACAGCTAAATTGTCCGGCCCAACGACCACAACAACAAAGTGAGAAGAATTTCCTCAGTGTTATTTTGTAGTCTGGGATGCCCTTACTAGTTTTTTTTATCCAAAATATGTTTGAATAAACAAATGAGACATCTAGTACGCTTTTAATGATTTCTTGTCAGGTTTTCGTTTACATAAAATTATTAGGTAATACTAACCGAGTACAAGCCCTAACTCGAGTCGTAAATGTGAATTCACTAACTGTTCTGGTGTAAGTTTCTTAGTTCTCATCATTTAGTGTTATCTTTAGTTTGCACATGATTCAATAGTAGTATTCGCAACGGTATAAACTTATATATCTTAAGCTGGGTATCGAAATCCATCCTTTATTTTTTCACTTATCTTTTGGGAAATCAATTGTGATCTCTACTTTATGATATTAACTGCATAACTTCACAATTTACGTATCAGAATATTTATCTGTCAGGAATATTTTCCAATGATGACAGTTTACTACGCATTATTTTATTTTCAGGTTTGCCCTACCTGCTTTGGTTTCTCCAGGTAGAAGTTGGATTGTACCGGTTGGAACTGCTGTGGCCCTTCTCTTGTCGCATCATCATCAAACTTACTGGAAACGACAGCAATTAAAATCTGGTCGTCATTTGAGTAAAACCAATAACAATCCACCCACGTCGTTTGATTCTGTCAATATGTTTTGCGAAAGACAAGTAGATGTGCCCAGTATGAACTCAATCAGTGGTTTTATCAATAGTCCAAATGTTCTGGTAACTAATTCTCATATGGATAAACAACCTACACATCTACAAGTTACTCCTCCCTTCTTTTGTGTCTGTTGTCTCCATACAAAGCGTGGTCGAGTACCACTGAGCCAACTAGTACCAAATGAGCTAGAACTTGCGCGACCTCCTGATGTCGAAAAAGGTAGTGTTATAGCCATCTACTATGAACTGGAGCCACTACCTACAGATGAATCATATGAACAATGTACAAGTCTTCCTATAGATGGAACTATGAACATACTTAATGATATTAGCAATATTCCGTCTATAATACCAGATGAGAATGTACAGAACCTTTTGAGGTATACTTTAAACTCTACCGAAAGTGAAGAGGATTCAGATACGGAAAAACTGCTTTTTCTTTTTCGGTTTCATATTGTTATTAATGGCATCGACATGATTGCAATAGCAGTAAGTCATACTTCATTAAAACGTATTTGGACCTTTAACTTAATCCCTCGAAAAATGTTTTGTGGTAACTACACTTCATAATCTGCGTTTCTTACCTGTCGATCTTAATAAAATATTTCGGAAATGATCTTCTTAACGTTATAGCAGTGGCATTTGACATTTTAGCCAAAACGTCTGAGGTTTGAATCCTGCTTCACCTTCTGTTTGACCAACTTGGTAGTATCAGTGCCATTCACACCCAAGTACTTGGAGAATAAGTTCACTGATTGTTTTTCTCAATAACTAGTTTGCGAGTTGGTAGGGGAGTATTGATTTTATTGACTGCATTTGCATCCAATATGATCAAATATATTAAAAGTTTCCGTTAGATTTGCTTACGTGTACTGCTGCATAATATCGCCACAACGAGAAGAAAAACTAGAAAACTGAAAAGCATGAAGGTGGAAATAATAAATATGAGATATATTTCAAAAAAAGATGAAAAATGAGTATATCCGCATGACTGTTACCAATTTTGAGCCATTTCACTTGAGGTGTCCAATCATAAGTAATCGAGCCTCAAATTCCAACTACGTGGAAATCAAACGGCAAGACCATTGTTCAAACGATAGGATTATCATTAATTAAATACCGATTTTGCTTATATTAGGAAGATTAAATTTAGAAAAGACTACTACGAATCGCTAATTTGATAGTCAATAGGTTAATAAAGTGTACGTACATTAAGGTTGCCAAAAGTCCAGTATAACTAGATTCTTAATGTTCGTTGTAGAAACTAATTTATCTGCTCAATCGTGAAGTCTAGCAGGAGATCATAACCTCTGTGTAATTTTTCGCTACAGGAAACAGTGGCTATTTCACCATCTGATTTTGAAAAGAATCTAATCAGTGTGGACTCCTCATTTTCACCTGTCAATGGAGATGCAAGCAGTATCAATTATAGTGTGACTAACAGTACTAGTGAAACTCCTGAATCATTGCCAACTTCTGATCTTCATTCTTCCGATAGTATCCCTTCTCCCACACCGCGTATGCGGGCTGTTTTTGATGTTTATGGCCAAACTAAAGCAATTCAACTACGGTCGTTACAACAGGTATGTTTTTTGCTGTATGGGAACTAACTTTTAAATTCGCTTAATTAGTAGAATAAAAAGGTAAAACATAGCTATACAATCTGTGATTTTTTTAAAATAGACTTTGTACATTTTACTTCAGTATTATAGTATAAATTATTTCAGAAATTCGATCCCAGGTATAGAAGTTAAGAAAGGTGAGTTTAAAATTTTCTGTTATTTTTAGTCATCAATAATTGTAGGTTACTAAGCCCGTAAATAAGTGTATCAGACAATAAATATCAGGTGTAACAGTTATATTTCCTGTATTAGTTGTCTATTGTCCAGTCTACGAAGTACTTGCAAGAAACCAATTCTAAAATTAATCACTACTGGTAACTTCATTCTTCGTAAACTCACCTCTATTTCAGACTACGATTGTGTCACAGGCTATAAGTCGTTACACTTTCACTTTATATTTTTCCATAGGAAGGATTTTTAGTATTAAGAAAAGTCTTCAGATTCTACATAGAGAGAGTGGCGTCGTAATGTTTGATGCTTCCGAATTACTTACCATATCTTCGTCATATACTGTTGGAAGGGATGGTATGTCATAAGTTAAATTAACAGTATTATATGAGAAACTAGGTCCTCTAATCTTCATTTAATGTAAACTCTATTTTATATGGGAGTCATGAACTGAATTCTTATGTTTTCAGGTTTTAAAATTCATGTTTGGTCTATTGCTTGATATGAATGCCTATATTTCAAGTTGCGAAACGTACCGTTGAATATTCAATGTCGAACTAGGTCCTCTTAATAATCATATCTTATACAGTTATATTTTAACAAAACGATGTGGAGTAATGTTGATGGATCCCATTTAAGAGTTTCTCACACGTACAATCTGTTAGTCGCGACGTAGAACTCGGTACATATGTACATCGGCTCAAATCGCCATACTCCATTAGCACAGAGAGATGAAATTGTCAGGCCGAATTCCAGTATAGTGGAGGTAGTAAATGTATCAGTGGTAATAAAAAAGATTAGGCATCAAATATACAATTCAAGAAAATATAAACTAGCGGAACAGAAGAAATATTCTGAGGAATTTAGGATCTCATAACTTGGGGGATGACAAAGAATGGGTTCATTTGCGTCATTTCAAATGATTTTAAAGTAGATTATTTCAAGCAGACTTTAAATAATAAGTTTTAAATTCTGGTTTTCTTCTTTCTGTACACGTTATTAATAAAATTGATAGTTTTTATTCTTATCAGTATAATAGATTCCTCATTTTTTGTATGCTTATTTTATATTAACTTTACAGAATTCAATTGCACAATTAAGCCGTTTATGCTCGTGTGCTATTCTACATCATATATTTTGTATATTTCATTCCAATCGTTTTCTAAACACTGAAACATCTAATTTTGATTCAGATAATTCATTTAATATATGCTCCAAATCTAGTAGAATGCGTAATTCACCACAAATGATTGTTCCAAATATGATGAAAAATAATAGATTTCGGAAATTATTTATTATGTTAGATAAACTTCCATTACCTAGAGTTGAGCGACGTCGTTTACAACGTGATGCTTTTGCTGTATTAGCTCGAGGAATTGCTGATTAACTACGAATTGTACCCAAGAAGTATTTGTTTTATATTGTGTATATTACAGAAAAGAAAAAAAAGTCACCAAGTGTCTTTCACCATTATTATTTACTTGTCTTTGATCCGATCTCCAGTTTTAGCTATTATTTTGTAGTGCGCGTTTGTGTTCATTAGAGGGAGTAAAGCTGTTCCATGGCAAAGGTGAACAATAAAAGAGATTCCATACGGACTATTCAATCTACATTTCATTATATTTTAATGTGTTGTTTATTGCTTCATTTATTTATTTACTTATTGAAATCAGATTTGAAAGGACATTACCCATTCGCTTAGTGTTTTATTTTGCTTGTACACATTTTTATTTACTTCGTATTGTATACAGAATAATTCTAAGTGGTTAATGGAAACTGTTGAAAATTCCAATTTCAATATAAAAACTTTTGAAAAATAGTGTGATTTTGTTATCTAGTGTGCTTGTGTATGCCTGTATTACTATATCTATTAAACTGATCAAATTACATTTGCAAATAAATAAGAAGTTATACAAATTGTGTTATAGAAGTAATACACATATTAGTGAAATCTAATCTCATTCTTTTTATTTCTGTATTTCACAAGTTGACTAATATTAAAATGTCAACAAGCCAATTTGGCATGTGTAAAAACGAATTAAAAGATAAATAGGGACTAAATGTTGTGGATAATTTTAGTCTTACATAGTTGTTTTAAGCAAATAACTTGTGTAGAAATCGTAAGGTATAACAAACTGAACTCTTGGTACTTCATAGCTTTTTAAAGATTATAAAATTGATACTGATTAATTTGTTTTCAAAATCGTCGTCAAAATGATGATTTATCCTTTATGCCACGAGAAATCGCTTATTCATGATTGATAATGAATATATTTTATATTCGTTGTCATTTATAGTGTGCTTGTTGATTATCTAGCTAAATAATCGAATTCTCAAATTTAAATTATATTTTAATAAAATATAGACACGTATTGTTCATAATTTAAACTCTCTTATACAATGTACTTGGTTAGTTTCTCAAGTTATAAAACACAGAATTCTGTAATATAGTTTCATTGTTGTATAACTTATTCATATGATTTAACGAAATATATTGATTTAAGGAGATAATATATACTATTCGGTTATTAATGCAAAAAATACTGTTAATTATAACTATAAATCATTCACGTGTGTTCATTGTACAAAGTGATTCATTTTATTCAATGGACTTACGAATATACATTTGTCAAATGATTGTGGTAGAACAAATTTAATTGCAGATAGTATTAACTTTGGATTAGTCAGTTATAAATAAAATCTTTATCCTTAATTATTACTGGTATATATATATATATATTACTGATAGATTACTTCTAGAAAGCATTGATTACTGGAAGTTGTTTAATGCTAGTTCACTTCGAGTAGAACAACCTTTGATAAAAGTCTAATTAGAGGAATATCATTGAGATAAAGTAGTAGCTTAATTGTTAAATCCTTTTCAATTTTTGGGTTACCATTTCGAGTCCTCCTCAACATACTTTAGTTTGAGAAATGTGTTAATATATCTAGATTATACTAAGAGTTTACCTCAAAGTCGAATACATAAACATTAACTTGATAAGTGATTTACATTAGTAGTTTTTAATTATTGCACTGAATGGTGGACTCCATGCGAATATCAGAGTTTTACTTTTAAACTTCATTAAAAATTTATACATCTAACTGATAGTTGCTCATTTTAAGGAAGCATTATATGTGTAGCTTGGAATAAATGTGTTAAGTTTAGGAAACATTATGCTTAAATGGTTTTATCAACATAACAACAGCTTTCCGACTGTTACAATCCAGTTCTTTGGTAGTTTTACATTTACCTCTAATCAGTCCAAAAATTCAATAGTTCTATACAGTTGACTGTTAAAATAAATGTTACTTTCAGTATGAATCATCAAAAAATATATTAGATCATTTTCTCTTTACTACACTTTAAATTCATTACTTTATTGATATTCAATTTAGTTGATGAATAATTCGTAATTAGTTTTCCTAACTGATTGATCTAGTGTAGACTTATGATAGCGTAGTACTAAGGAGTTGCACATTAAGTTAAAGTGAAAATCATGTTATTCTTGGTATTTAACGTTTGTCTAGTTGACATAAATTCATCAATTAGACTGTCTGTTCATTAATTTCCGTTAATTAAAACTTTTGTTTTATTATATTTAATTATTTGTTCATTTGTTTTCTAGTTATCAGTCCCTAATGCCATCAAATAATAAAAGTTCACTCCGTCAAACCAATAGAAATTTACGAGCAGAAATTGATGTACTTAAAGCACAAATTGTTCAAATGAAAAATGACTTATCTCAGTCTCATACTATTCGTCCTAAAATTGATCAAATGAGTAATGAAGTTGTCGACTCTAATCCATATAGTCGTCTTATGGCACTTCAACGTATGGGAGTTGTTACAAATTATGCTCTGTACGCAGTCTGTATAATTTTGTGACGAAAAATTTTTCAGTGTTGAAAGATTTTATTATTATTACGAAGAGTAATTCTTTACTTTAACAAAAAATTTCGTTAATATGAGTACCTAGACTTCTGTTAGTAGTTTGTTGTGATGTTTAAAAGAAGAGTGAAATTTCCATGATTAAGTTACTCAGCTTAGTAAAGTCAACTCCACCAGAATTATTTAAATATTTTAATGGAAAGGTAGAAATCCTTTAAAAATAAATTCTTTTCCATTTAATAAACAGATGGGTGCTGCTGTTCGCAATAACAGATACAGATTATTAGTCACACTTGGGTCTCAATAGTAATCGTAGAAACATTGATACCACGATAACAAACGCTCTATTAACAGTAATATCGTATCCAAACAGTTAAATAGGTAATCAGTTATATGTACACAGAATTTACTTGTTTGTAACAGTCAATTCATCATTTGAATCGGTACAAAAGTATCCAATATAATTAGAGTGGTTCATTTCATAGTCAAATACTTATTTAGTATCTTATGAATTTTTGACATGTTTCTGATAAATATTGACATTAGTATTTGTATAGAGAAATCAATCACAGTGAAATATCTCTATCCTTTCATCAGTTTCAATCACTAGTCTACGGTATTTAAAATACATTAGAAATAATTTTCTCTTCATTTTCAAATGATAATACGTTTTAGTAAATTAAAACAATGTTACAAATTTATTTGTAAATGCTGGAATAGTATAATTAATTGATTAGAAAAATTCACCAGTTCAGGTAATCTTCTTTTCAAAACAGCGTATATCTGACATGAAAAATTGTAACTTAATTTGTCTGTACCATAGCTTTTAAAGCAATCTCTACAAAAATTTCTTAGGTTCCCGTCTTGTGTTCTAGGTCTTTATACCGTTCATTTCTACTGAACAATAGAAATTTCATCTGTATGTCATAGTTAATCATCACTAATGAAATAGAAATTAGGCTATAAGGATACAGGATTTATACTTTTTTTTCTGGTGATAACTTCAATAAAGCAATCTTAACTTTCCTCTATTGTGCGTTTTCACCATTTATTCGCTCTGCTGGAAATTTCTCGCTATTATTTCAATAGACAATGCTAAACAAAAATTCTATGGTTTAAATCACTTACTGATCTTAGCTAGACCACCATTGAAACCAGGGACAATTGTTTCGCTCTAATGTTGAGCTCCTTAACAACGCACATCCACGACGCCGCATGCGAAAATCAAACTCAAAACCTTCGGTTCCGCTCTTGAACCCTCGACTTCTAGACCATAGCCAGTATCCAACGGTGTTAATGCCTAACGTCAATCAACTGAAGGCCGTGGGTTCTATTTTTAGATGCGGTGTCGTAAGTTCGCACTTCGAACGAGTCCCATACTAGAACGAAATGACCGTTCAGTGCTTCCAGGCTTTCAATGGTAGCCTAGCCAAGATAAGTTCGTGATTTAAACTATCAAAGTTTTACTACCTCCATAAATCTCTTTATACTACCAAAGCAAAATTTGTTAACTGGTTTATTTGATCAATTAGAACATATTGCTTTGTACAGCTGATGGTAATTTAAGTTTAAAAATCTGTCATAAGTAATTAGTTTAACTTTAACTATTTTTTTACTATTTCAATTTCTCAGACTATCGAATGTCTGCACATAATTTGTGTTATTCTTAAACCAGAACAAAATCAAAAGTCACCAGGTTATTTATTACAGTTTTTCAAATTGCAGTCCATTTAAGGAATATCTTTATTTTATTGTTAAAAACTTGTAGTTGTTACTCGATAGATAGACCTATTTATTGAGTAAATCAATCATCTATTGTTTCTCACGTGTTACTGTTTTCTTTTAACGGATGATTGTTTCTAAGTCAAACGTAAAATTGAAAAAAGTTATTTTGGAAAATAATATAAAATGATTATTTGATACAGCCTGATCGCTTGATAAGTTTGAACAGAGCAAGAACAATAAGGTTTGCAAAACAAGATTAATGCATTCTATTTCATAGGTTCTCTCCAGCTGCAAATAGTTTAAAATTACAGGAAATACTATAACTATAGACATTGCGTAATCCCTTTTTCTTTTCATTATGATTATTAGTAACCATAATATCACATCCCTTACTCTTCATTAAACACGCATCAATCTTAACCATATTTAGTCAGTTTGTATCGTGTTCTTTTTATAACGATTCTCAGTTCCGTTTTAAACATCCATCTCAACTTCACCAACCAAATTGTGTTAAACCCTTGTTCATAATTATATTTTCCCATGTGATTTTGGGCTGTTTAGACGTCATAAGGAACTCAGAAACAATTCATTTTATTTTATCGTGTTCACTGATATATACGAATGATTGACATTAGACAATCTAATATTTTTCACTGTTATCAGATGCAAAAATATCCAGGAGTTCGTGAATAAAATTTTATGGATCGCTTCCTCGTTCCATAAGTACATATTTGTTTAAGTGGTGTTTTGCAATAATCTAATTCGCTTTTATTCAATTCTAATTTCTAATTATTCAGAATTCGAGAAAAGACTGTTGTTATAGTGGGTATTGGGGGTGTTGGCTCAGTGACTGCTGAAATGCTTGTTCGATGTGGAATCGGTCGTCTGATTTTATTTGATTATGATAAAGTGGAGTTGGCCAATATGAATCGATTATTTTTTCAGGTTAATAAAATTTAGTATTATTATTGTCCTGGTTTTTTTAATTTTATTAACACTAATAGGGTTATTATATATTTCAAAGCTTTGAGAAGAAGTTTTCAACTATCGTGTTATGTGAACACATCTCTATATGAACAATCTCTTATTGTTGTTTATTCTTCTACTATGATTAGTATGGTGATTCTTATCGCCACTAACTTCCTTTTCAGTTTCTCTTTTCTATGTTAATATGAAGTTTACCTAATTAAATTGTTACAATATGTGCTTAGTCTCTTCTACTCAACTAAGATTTTCTTGTGCTGTTATTGCTGAATAATTATTGTATATTATCCAACCTCAGGGAGCTTAAAAATACGTATTTATTCTTCATTGTGACCTGTTCACTTCTCTTACCATATTAGTGTACGCAGGGTGACCAATTTTATTGAATTATTTTGTTCCTTAAATCAGTTAAAAGACCAGTTGATTTCGCGAAACAGAAGTTGCCGTTGAAAATTATTATCAAACACTTGAGACATTTTTGATTCTACTCATCATGATGGACATTTGTGTTGCCAGGAATACTTGGACTCCTCACATATGCAAACAAATATCCGTTAACATTGATGGAGAGGAGTCTTTAGATACTGGAGTAAGAAATATCTTGTTTGGTTAGGCTGACTTAAAAGCAGCGTGATTCTGTGGCAGTGTCTGTCATTGAAAGGCGTACCTCAGAAGTACATAAACCTTGTGAAGGCTCTTTACTCGAACACTACTAGTAGAGTCAGGGCTTATGGCGAACTGTCATCTACTTTTGCAACCTCAAGTGGTATCCGTCACAGCTATCCACTTTATCCATTTTTGTTTAACTTCATCATAGATCGACTGATGGAAATAACGCTCTGATCTAATGAATTTTCGGGCATTGATCCCCTTCCAGCAGGTCCACTTATTGACTTAGAATACGCAGATGATATAGTCCTGTTTGGTGAAGACGCTGATAAAATGCAGTCTTCTGGTAGCACTTAGCAACAATGCCAGAATGTTTGGGATGCGTTTATCCCCCTCTAAATGCAAGTTGTTGCTTCAGGACTGGTCTGCGTCAACACTTGAACTAAGGATAGGGAGTGAAGAAGTCGAAAGCGTTGACAACTTCACTTAACTTGGAAGTCTGATCAGCACTAATGGCTTAGTGTCTGAAAAAATCTCTGCATGGATTCAGAAAGCTCGTTTGGCTTTTGCCCACTTACTTCACCTATGGAGAAGGCGAGATATCCGTCTATCAATTAAGGAACGAGTATATTGCGCGGCAGTTCGTTCTGTTCTACTTTACAGCTGTGAAACGTGACCACTAGGTGTAGAAGATACTCGTAAGCTACTAGTAGTTGACCACAGATGCTGGGATCATCGGGTAAGTAATAGGGAATGATGGTAAATCAGTTGATTAGGTTGTGAATCTTCATCGACTGAAATGGTTGTGCCACGTGTTACGTATGTCTGAATACCGATTAGCATGACACGCAATACTGACTAGTATTGGGGATGGTTGGAAGAAGGTTAAGGGCGGTCAAACCAAAACGTGGCATCAGTGCTTGAAGTCATTAACTTCTAGTGTGAGCCATGTTGGTAGATGCAAACTACTTGGTTGGGGTCCGCGCGACTATCGTAACCAATGGTTAGAGACTCTGGGTGACATGAATGAGAATCGACCGCAATGGCGTCGGTGTATACACTCTCTGTCTTTCCTTAAACTATGAGATTAAAATCGCTTCATATCTTTCTACGTGCTAATTGTTCTTTCCTGTACTATATCCTTATATGCAATCTTTCTTTTATATATTACCACCATTGAAGTAAGTACTTCTACGGATCCGGTGTTCATTTTGCTGTGCTAATGAGGTATGGCAACTTGGATCGATGCGTATATGTGCCTGGTCCTACGTTGTAGCTGACTGATTTACTGACTGAGTGAAATCAAAAGACAGAAGCGAGGAAGTTCGAAGATATATTTGACAGACTATCAATATATCGAGGATCGACTGATTTAACCTGGCTAGCGATTGCAGGCTGTTATGTGCAAACCAATTGTAAAATTCAGTTTGTAGTAACACTGCATAGTCGAACTCAGCTTAAAGCACACTTTTGACTGTAAATTAAGTTTTTCTTTTCAATCAATCGTCATCAGTCGAATACCATGTAAAAATATTCATGAAATTATCTTTGACTAAACAGAAAACATATTGTCAAGCCAGTTGTTTTGTACAGATTTTGACTTGCATTAAATTCATTTACGTATACTCTATATCGTAAATATTTTCACTTCTTATTGTTTGTTCGTCTCTTTATAGCCTCATCAATCTGGTTTGAGTAAAGTTGCAGCTGCAGCATCTACTCTAAGTTTTATCAATCCAGATGTACAAATTGAAGCACATAACTATAATATAACTTTAGTAGAGAATTTCGATCATTTTCTTAATCGTTTAGAACATGGTGGTTTAAAAGATGAAAATCCTGTTGATCTTGTATTAAGTTGTGTTGACAATTTTGAAGCTCGTATGACAATCAATAAAGCGTGCAATCTTCTTGGTCAAGTTTGTATTTTTTCCTATTATTTTATTTCATTATATTTTACAATGAAACATAAATATTTTTATAATTCATTTCTATACACTTTATGTCCTATCCCTTTTAGTGTTTCGCTCTAAAGATATTGAAATTTAAGAATTACTGATTAGTTTAACTGTTAAAACTTTGAATGTGGATCGAATTTAAAAATAAATAAATAATTAACTAATTAAAATTATTCGAATCTTTCTGTGGTGTATTCTACGTATATCGTTGGTTATACGTAGTATGTAACAACAATTGAAAATGGAATAGCTGGGAGTAGAAAGTGGAGATCGAATTGAATAGGATAAGAATATAATAAGAGAGTCATTGTGATAACAACAACAAGAATGAACGATAAAGTTTGTAAGAGACAACTGATGGAAGATATGCAAATGATGTATTTAATATATGGTTTTCATATTTTGCGAAGATACTCTGTAATTTTGTATTAAACGATAATTCGGTTATCCCCATCAAGTCTTCATTAACTTCATTTCCAATTATTCCTTAGTATTTTTAATATATTCCCTCCTATATAGTTTTATGAATATATTAATATTGTCATTATGATATTTTTCATAATTGAGAGGACGAAAAGCGAATGTCAGCCTCTAACTGGGTTGGTGGGTATGGAGGGTTCATTTAGAGGAGTTGGAAAACCCTGATTCCAAACCAACGCTGCACATGGGCTCCAGGATCCTAAGGAAATAAATGGCATATGAACCTATTGTTGGTCACCGGCTACCATGGGACTACATCTCCTTACATTGCTCCACTGTCTTATGGATTGGACCTTTAGGTTAAAGGCTCGGGGGGTGGCCTCTCTAAGAAAACCACCTACTTCAGTTTGGGCACCCGGAAAGTACCCCAGCCCACACAAAAGTTGAATGATTTGTTGTGTGGCCCATACATGTTTTGGCGCCCCTTCGTACCAATGTTTGTGTTCAAATAAATAAATATATGTATTCCACTCATTTGAATTTGGTGCGTGATTCACATTGATTATTTCGTCTTTACATAATTTTATTTAATATAGGTTTGGTATGAGTCTGGTGTCAGTGAAGACGCTGTTAGCTGTCATATTCAACTTATGTATCCTGGTCGAACACCATGTTTTGAATGCCTGCCACCACTAATTGTGGCCAGCGGATTGGATGAAAAAACTCTTAAACGAGAAGGAGTATGCGCAGCATCACTTCCTACTACGATGGCTCTTGTTTCTTCGTTATTAGTTCAGAATACTTTGAAATATCTGCTAAAATTCGGCGAAGTATGTTTTTTCTGTTGTTCAAAGTTTTATTTTCTACATTTAAGTTTACTATTCTCTTATTTATAGTCAGTTTATCCACTTCGTTAATTGAAGGTCAACGGCAACTGAAGTTTCAATAAGAATTTTTTATATCATACCTAATGACTCCATGATAGCATTGGGAACTCAGTATTACTATACATTTTATTTCCATGATAAGGGTTTTATGACCAAATATCAAAGATTGACGATTAAGTAATTATTATTTTCATTTCAAGCGACATTTTTGTTAGTAGTAGTAATCGGGGCTGTGACTGTTTTCGAAGCTCCGTATTCCAGACTGTCAGCTAGTAAGATTGTATATCCTTTCGTCTGTTTTTTTTTCACCAACTTAGTAATAGTGTTAGACATTACACCAAGTATATACTTATAACTTAATACATTTTTTGAAATAGTCGATTTATGACTTGTGCTCATAGTTCATTCTCATGCATATAGTATTGTTCACATATATTTTGTTTTCACATTTATAGATGTGAATATCAATAAAATTAAATATCTGTTTTCATTGCAACTGTATTTATGTGCTGATTTCGAAGTAATTGGGTGATACTAATGCCATATTTGGTTACTACCATCGTTGTGATTATTTTGGTAACAATAAAAGGCATGATTGATATGACCATTAAAAAAAAGTCAAATAAAAAGACTTTCTGTACAACAAATCCATTGTCATAGCTTGACAGTGGTAAATATTTAGTAGAAATAAAACATATTAGTAGTCAGAATTTCTTAACGGTTAGAAGAATTTACTCCTAACGAATAAACCTCTGATGTCTATGTTTACTTGTTATTGAGGCACAATTCAAACAAGTTGTTTAGTCCTTTTCACTTTATCAGCTCTTTCGAATATTTCTAAAAGGCGAAATTTATTTACAACTTCCTCGTATAAACGCCTGTGTTTTTGTGTCTGTCTCTTGTTTCATTTATTACCCTCGAGTCGGTACTCTGCCCGAGATTTTATTTTCAGCTCCTTCTAATCAACTTAAAGTGCCATTAATCAAAGTATAATAGATAGTACGAAACATAACACAATTTGAGATACAGAAGTCCACTGAATACTAAAAATAGACACACTGTGTATGTAAATAATTAAGAAATGAAACATGGTTATTTAATGATCGATTAAGGATTCGGACTCATGTGAACGTCCTTATCACTGCTACAGTGAGAATAAGTTGTACATTCTCTTTCAAGTATCAATAGCTATTTGAATACATAATTTGTTCAAACCTTAAATGTGCACAAATGTTTTATTTTTACATTTAAAAAATCTTTTTAGCTTAGTGTTGCCCCCAAATGCCCTGGTACGGCCGAGAGTGAGGAGAGTCCGCTCTCCCTCTCGAAATGCTCTCATATGGCCACGTGTATATAGCCTCTGCCAGGGAAGTCCTATTCACTACTTTCTCATGGCGGGGGTGTTGTTTACGAAATTGAGAGGACGAAAAACGAACGTCCGGCGCTTTAACCGGGTTGGTGGACACGGAGAGCCCACCTAGGGGAGTTGGGAAACCCTGATTCCAAACCAATGGTGCACATGGGCTCCAGTATCCTGAAGGAACAAATGGCGTATGAACCAATTGTTGGTCACAGGCTTCCATGGGACTGCATCTCCTTACGATGCTCCACTGCCTTGTGGATCAGACCTTCAGGTCGAAGACTCCGGGTGTGACTCCCTAAGAAAACCACTTTCTTCGGTTTGGGCACCCGAGCAGTATCACAGCCCTCACACATATCGAATGAGATTTGTGTGGCGCATATGTATTTGGTGTGTCCTTGTACCAAAAATACCTCGTACAAAGTATTAAAAAGAGAAGACATTGCGACACGGCCAGTAAAAAGACCTTATATCTGAAACTTGACTTTAAAGGCGACATAGCGGGTGATATTCTAACACGTCGACTCAAAAGATCTGTCGAGAGGACGTTTCATGCCGCCAAGTTACACATAACTTTCTCGACTAAACCAGTACTCACACAACTAATCAAGGATAAGTTACCGAAGATGGGCTCCTCCATGTGTGTATACCAATTCAACTGCTCATGTGGAGCTAGTTACATAGGCCGTACTCAGAGGGCTTTATCCTTGCGTGTTCGTGAACATGTACCAGTATGGTTGGGAAAAGGAGTTACCAAATCGATTAACAGCACCATTCTTTCTCACTTGGTAGATAGTGAACATCATATTAAAATAGAGGAAGCTTTCTCTGTTTTATCTCAAGTTCCAAAATATCTACCTCAAGGAGCTAGATTACGACTGCTTTACACAGCCGAAGCCATCTGGATCAACTCCAGAAGACCTAACTTATGCATCCAGAAAAAATATATCCAGCCTCTATGTTTACCCTGGCCTACGACTAGATCACCAAATACCTAGACTGAATATTATAAACCTCTTACCCCTTCCTTCCTTCATTTTTATTTATTTTCCTTATTATCATTATTTTTTATCTCTATCTTAATCTTCACATTCATCATTCCCAATTCGTTAATCGTAATTACCTTGATAACACCCACCTTATTACATAGTATATTCACACAACAATCTTATTATTAAATGACCTTTCTAATTTGTCAAATAATACAATTTTGAAGTTTATATATATCGTAACAGATGCAAACGTTCACCATTTTTAACACATAACATTGTCAAATTAATTAATGCCATGCCTTATTTTTGGCCTTTGTAAAATATTATAATTATGGACTTATAACTGTAGAGCCTGATGATGAAGTTATTGAAAACAACTGTTCACTCAAATATTCTTCGTTTTTCAATATCTATATGTTAAAATAAATAAATAAATAATAAAGCTTAGTGTTATGTAGGATTTTGGAAGATTTGTTTGAACAACCTAGTTTTTTTTTTACATGTTTACCGAATGTTGTATAGTAAATCTAGACATTTCTTTTTCTTCATTCTATTTTTATATAAATCAATTATAATTCTTGTGCTCATTTTATCAACGACCATATTGTATTTGTAAAATCTTCAATTACATAGAAGCAATTATTTTAAATTTTTTTATGAACTTGTTTTATCTTGACATAATTAGATTATTATCTAATTCATATAATTGTAGACTTAATGTGGTTGTTTCATTGAAAAGTTGTTCAATTTTCAAGTGTATGAGATATTTCTTTGATGATCTCTTGTTTTTCGTTCATCTAATAGATTATGTTAATCTTTTATTAATTACTTTTAATCTTTTGTTTATTTATTTTTTTTTTATTGATCATATTTAATACACATGTGAACTATTCGTTGAACTTACTGAATTTCTACAATTTGACTAACTTTCTGAATAATTAAATGTTAACCTTTTTTTATATATATTTATCAAATTTGATGATGATTGTTAAAATGAAACGCATTGAATTAGGTTTATTTGTTCTATATTCATAAACAATATTTAATTAGATCTTATTTCATGTATTGTGAATTTGACGGACTATTTATAATATTGTAGTATAGAGCATATTTACACAACGTTATAGAGTGAACAATGATGTAACATTTATATTCAATAATTTTAAGAATACTAGCCTTACTTACCTGTTCAGATCTTTAAATAATCTGTATTGATGAAGTAGTGAAACTTCATCAGTTGAGATGGCTGGGACATGTGTTACGTATGCCCAACCACCGACTACCTCAACGTGCTATGTTCAGTGGTATAGGAGTAGGTTGGGAGAAATCTAGGGGCGGCCAGACCAAAACATGGCACAAGTCCATGAAGTCACTGACAAGTGGACTGAGTCATGTTGGTAGGTGTAGACTACCTGGTTGGGGACCACGAGATGATAGCAACCGATGGTTAGAGACCCTGAATGACATGGCTCAAAATCGTTTGCAATGGCGCAGGTGCATCCACTCTTTGTGTTCTCCCAAATATTAATCTCCTGACTCCTCCTTTTTTCTCTTCCCAAATTTATTTCACTGGATTATACTCCTTGAATACCATCTCCAAACCCTAATCCTCCCGATTACTGCTTATACTCTTGCTACCTCTACCACTACGGGATTTGAGTCGACAACTACATCTCTGTGCTAATGTGGTATGGCCACTCGAACTGATGTACGTACGTACGAAGTTCTATGTTATTTCTGACTGATTGGATTAATTGAAGCTTTTTTCTGTATTTTGTTTTTGTTTTTCTTTGGTGTATATTAGTGTAAGAGGTATGAAAAAAAGACAACAATGCTCCAACAAACTGGATAGAACTAGTGGAAAACCGTTTGATTTTTAGGGTTTTTTAAAATTCCATTTTAGTGAACAAAATCAAAATGGAAGTTCTACCTTAAGTTATTCATATTTCTCAAAATGTGAATTTTGAAAGATTGAGGGTTCTATTATGACTGTACGGTAGTTACATTAATTATGAAGAAGCGACAAACATTTGTAGACAATTACTAATTATTATTATATTAAACCATGAGTATATCTATTCGAAACTGTACACTATCGTTGATTGATATTTGTGAAATGGCTATTGTCTTCCTTATATAACTTAGTTAATATTTTCTAGAAAACAATGGTACGTTGCATCTTTGTTATTTCTACAAGTATCATTTATTTGCTTGTTAGAATCAGAGTTTTGTTTCTTGTCCATTTGACCATACTTCCACATAGTGTTTTTTTAAAAATAGTCTAAACATATTAGTTTATTGAGATTAAGTAAAATAAAATTAATTTTTAACTTTTCATAAATTCTTTTAGATGAAAACGTAAAAAAGAATATTCTGTTGGCTGTAAACATTACTTTCTTTTTACCTATTTTTGTACAAAAGGTTTCTAGTTACTTAGGTTATGGAGCGGCTAAAGATTCGTTTTATCGTGTTGAATTGAAAGCAAATCCAGATTGTGCTGATTCATGGTGTAACCTGCGTCAAATTCAATGGCGTAATCACTTACAACAATTAAATCTTCCAATTGATTCTCCTTGGGATATTGAAGAACGTTTGAAAGCCCAACAAATTAAAAATGAAAAACTTAAAGAAGCATTATCCAAGTCAAAACATGAAGAAAATGATTTTGGCATTGAATTAGAATCAGAATCATCGAGTTTTACAGAATCCACTTGTAATATAAAACATGATTTATCCAATTCAAATTCTGAAATAGTTGGTGTAAAAACATTGTATACAGTGGATAACAAAAAAATTGATTCAAACTCTCAAGAGACATCTGATTCTTTTATTTCACAGACAAACGATAGCCTTGAATCACTCATGGCTAAAATGAAAAATTTGTAATCAACTTTATACTTATTAGGAAGGGATACTTTATTTTCTATGCACAGTTTTCCTCTGGTGTTTTGTGGCTGTCATGTTTTGATTTTAATTTGTATGATGCAAATGTGATATACTTCCGTCATTCTATTTGTTTTCCTTTTATTCCCAAACTATGTCAACAGTTTATTTTGTTTACATTGATGGTTATGTTAGGAAATTTAATTTCAGAGCAGTGGTTTCATGTTTTACAACCATGAACATTTTAGCATTGGGTTGTAGGATGCAACCCTTGCTCCATCTACTTTTGACGTCTTACTTTGAAATTGTAACTCATATGTACGTAAATAAACATGTCTTTGGTGAATGATTTATAATCGAAAAAATTATTTTGTAATGCATAGTCTTTCAAGGTGATAATTTCGTTTTGTACTGGAACAGATTTGTGCCCTATTTTTATGTTTCATTTTTTAGAATTCATCATCAAGCACTATTAGGCTGCAAAATGTCGATATCGTATTCCATATTTTGTGGGACTTTATCTATACTAAAAATCCATTAATTGCTATGAGTAACGTCTGGTTATAAATCTCAGGCTTATTCGTGATTTTAACGCTGCTTCCAAACGGACTAAGTACTTTTATCTAATTTGTTTAGCTACTTATATTTGTTATTAGTAGGTAGTGTAATAAATGATTTTCCACTTTCACGGTGTTTCGAAACTACTTCGTGTGAATAATTTCATCTAAACTATTATTATTTCTTCTGATTTCACAATGTATTCTAGCGTATCACTTGACAAAATATAGTTTGTTGCGGTAAAATATCCCAACTTCTAAAAGCTTGTTTAAGCATAGCGTCTGCATAGGCGCATACTTGTCACAATATTCTATAAAAGTCAATTCCGAGTTAATTTTTAATTCAAGTGTGGGGATTTCGAAACATGAATATCTTGAACAATGATATCTAGTAGTTTCATCAGTAACTGTACTATTATATAATGGGGTTTATCCTAGTTTTTATGTAATTCTATTTTGGAACACCTCACATCACCCCACCTAAATTCTCGAAATCTAGGTAGCAATGTAAATGTAATTTATGTAAGTAGTGGTTCTTATATGACTAAATAAGAGTATTAGATGTGAAATCATTGTTTAGGGCGAGTTGGTTCGGTTGATTTAAAATAAATCGCCTTCGGTGTACGATATATGAGTATTGGTTTTTGGAAATGTGAAGAATGTATATATTGCGGAGAGATAATTAGGTATTTTTAAATTAATAGGAAGTCGGTTTTATACATATTTTTGTAATTTTCCGTATGATTTAATGGATTTCAGTTTCTTCGGGGTGTTGAAATAAATGGAATAATATAACCCATTTAACGGAGGTCAGAATTTGCAGTGAGTTTTGCTTGATGAGAAGGACCCACAAACAATATGTATAGCGTAAATGCTTGAGCAAGTAGACAGTTAATATTTTGAAGAATTAATAAGCTTATATCACTTACTTGAGGATGACCTAAAGTTTTTAGTGATGTATACACCAGAGGACAATTTCTTTGGTACATGATGTCTCAGGACTGGCTTAAATAGAATTTTTAGGGATTTTAAGCGTAATTTTTCAATTTAGTTGTTTTATCTATATGATATTGTTAGTTTATTGCGATTCAGTGGAAACTTAGAGAATACAAAAGGTTTATTCAGTCCTTGTAGGTAATAGCCTTTTACTCACTGCATATAAAACTAATTTCGATTTTTACCAGTGTCAAAAGCAAGGAGGACTTACTGGACAGAAAACTTGGTAAATGCTGGGAAAAGGTGTCAAAAGTGATGTGAAAATCGGGTAGTTATTCATTGATTAATTACTTGGTATATATTCGACGTATACTTGTCACACATATATTTGATGGCATTTTCATATGGTCCTAAATATAAGATCTCATTGATCCATTAATTATTGTCTTATCCTTTACCGATCAAAAATAGGATTGCTTAGTCCGAACTAGGTAGGGATTAAGAACTTTCGGATATGACCGGTTTCAGAATGTCTAGTATTTATTCCATAACGTGAATCTTAATATCACTAAAATTGAGAAGTACTTTTTTATAAATGATTATATAGTCGTCATAATTCCTGATGATTCTAAGATTAATTTCATGTATGGTCATGAATATGTGGTTTCAAAATGAGGCACAACTGCTCAGTGCTATCTATCTCCCAATGCCCATTCACTTTACTTCAACGCATGATGAAAATGTAAACTAATATTCATTTAACTCAGAATGAAAATTTTCAAGAATAAATAAGAAAATATCAATGAAGGGAAGTAGGTTTAGACTCTCATGATTAGCTAATCATGACAAAGACAATCTACATCAAAAGTAGGTTATAGATATGTTGAAATGGCTCCCAAACGGCACAACGAAGCCTCCAGATGCTCTTAAGAAGCCAAAGGGATTCCATCCACTCAGAACCTAATATAAACTTCTTGATTATCAATGAGGGATGTTATCACTAGGCAATTAAATAACTTTTTACTTGAGGATTGGTTGGATCATAATGGTGTTATAGCCTGTAATAAAAATTCTAAATATCTTTATTTTCTGGACATTTTTGACTTATCAAATACCAAAAGGGGTTTTTGTGGATATTATAGTATTTTCTATAGTTCAGATCATGAGTCAGATGAAGCTAGGCCACCATGGAAAACCTGGTAGAACTGGACTGTCGTTTTGTCTTATTGTTATTACATAAACACTTCCCCTGCTCCTTCCATCTTTTGATTTGCAACTGGGTTTCTACACATTAGACTGCTGAAAGTTCTATACCATATTTGCCGTAATCAAGTAGAAGACATAAAACAATATGAATTAGAAATAATTCAACTTCCTTTTTTTATAATTGTTACTTATATTTTAGCTTATTACAATATTTCCTTAATAATTAAAGAAATCTATTAAGTCATTATGAAAGAAAACAAGCATTACGTACTTACGCCTGTTACCCCTCATGGAGGAGCGTAGGCCGCCAACCAGCACTCGCCATCCAACCCTGTCCTGGGCAATCATTTTCAGCTCTTTACAGTTGTCATTCATCCTCTTCATATCTGTCCTTTGGCCTTCCTCTTTTCAGCTTCCCTTCAGGATTCCAAGTTAGGACTTGCCTCGTGATGCATTTTGATGATTTCCTTAATGTATTTCTCATCTAATTCCAACGTCTTTTCCTAATTTCCTCTTCAACTAGAAGCTGGTTTGTTCTCTCCCACAGAAGGCTGTTGCTGATGGTATCCGACCAACGGATATTGACTATCTTGCGTAGACAATTGTCTAGAAAGACTTATAGTTTCTTGATGGTGGTTGTAGTGTTTCTCCACGTTTCAGCTCTGTACAGTAGAACTGTTTTGACGTTGGTATTGAAGATTGTGACTTTGATATCGGTTGAAAGTTGTTTTGAGTTCCATATGTTCTTCAATTGTAGGGATGCGGCTCTTGCTTTCCTAATGCTTGCCTTCACATCTGCATCCGATCCTCCTTGTTCATAGATGATGCTTCATAGGTACGTGAACGCTTCTACATCTTCCAGAGTTTCTCTATCAAGTGTGATTGGGTTGGTGTTCTCTGTGTTGTATTTGAGGGCCTTGGTTTTCCCTTTGTGTATGTTGAGGCCTATTGATGCACATACTGCTGCTATATTGACTGTCTTTAACTGGACTTGTTTGTGTGTATGCGGTAGGAGGGCTAGGTCACCTGGGAAGTCGAAATCGTCTACTTGGTTCTGAGCTGTCCATTTTATTCCATGTTTTTCCTCAGATGTCGAGGTCTTTATAATCCAGTCGACTATTGGGAGAAAGAGGAAGGGGGAGAAACGCTTACCAGAAAACAAGCATAATGAACAAAATTCATTATTATCTATCTTATGCGACATCATTTCCGATGATAAAAAATGATAAAAATTTAGAAAAGTCTGATATTTTAACGATAATTACATGTAACAGAGAATATGTATGATTTTTATGAATGACAAAACATTAATTTGTCTAATCCTTATAGAGTATATTTTAAAGTATGATACATCGTTGTGAATAGAGTTTGTAACTCATTGTATTAAAAATCCAACAAATGAATGTATGTGAATAATAGTCTTAGTTATATTTAAACGTACAAATTTCTTTACTAGTAATGTAGTGAATGAGAACACAATTGGGGCAATCGAAGGTATTTGAATACACAATTACAGAACATCTTAGTAAAATCTGAGAATCATGTAGTAAATAATTCATTTGCAAAATGTCAATCAATTTCCTCACACTTGATTGTTCATTCGTTTCCACACCAATCATTCTCTGTTTTCGTTCTCTTTCTTAGATCTTTCTAACCATCTGCTACCAGATATTTCACTTTTGATTGATGATATATACTACTTATATCTGTCAGCATCAGTAGCATACACCACATAACTACTGCATATGGCAATCCTATTTTAAAAACAATATTATTTTGCAGTTATTTATTATATTTGGTAGTATATCAAGAAAATATTTCTAACTTAATAACAAAAGTATCGAGTAAATATTTTTGAACAAAATTAACACAAATTAACCTCTAAACTTTGATTAAATTCTGCCGTCAAAGAAACTTAAATAAAGCCAGAACGAATATTGATGCAGGACAAGTCGAAAATTTTTTAATGAAGGAAGTATTTTATATACATAGACGGCTTTAATAATATGACGAGGAAAGAAGCCATCATTCAAGCACCGTTCCAAAAACGTTAATGTTACTGTTTCTCTCGATATCCTGCCACGGACTGTCACCAAATTATTGAATGACTTGAAAATATAAGCAAGGAGACGGCTTTTCATAAATTTCATGCAATTAATTCTTTTTTATGAATTTAAATAAAAACCAGAACAAATATTGATGCAGAAAGAAACTTTCGGATAAAATTGAGTTTCTTTTTTTCCCAAAAAAGAATTGTTTCATACATTTGTAAAATATCAAAATGCATAAATATGTATTATGTTTTATATTAAATGTTATCTTACATTGTGTTGAAAGAATTAATAAAATCTAATTTAAAAATTATGTCCCTAGTAACAAAATTACAGATTATTTATTCCTTTTAACCTTAATAAATCATGAGTCAATTGAAGCTAGACCATCATGGAAAACCTGGAAGCACTGGGCGGCCGTTTCGTCCTAGTGTGGAACTCCTCAGTAGTGCACATTCACGATCCCGCACCCCTTGAGACTCGAACCCAGGACCTATCGGTCTCTCGCCAAGCGCTTAACCAACTAGACCACTGAGCCGGCATCCGACGGTGTTAATGTCTAACTTCAACCAATCCACGAAGTTGCGCCACCGTATACTATTATCTTCAATGAGCTGATATCTCACAACAGACCTGGTTCAATTGACTCATGATTTCAATCTGTGAAATTTCTAAAATTTCCACAAACCCCTTCTGATAATTTCACTTCAATCAATTATATATTGAAGAAAATATGGCAGATGTCTTGAATTCATTTTCTTTTAATGAAACGATAATTGTTTATTTAATTACTTGTTAAATCAAGCATCTGTTAATAATCATTAATAGCTATTAAGAAAAGTATCATTATATATAATCTATCATATACGTATATACATCTATATTGATGTGGTTAAATGATGTGTATTTTAGGTTACTCCCAGTATTCATTTAATATATACATATAAAATCATATTTGTCGCCATTATAAATGACTAAAAATGTATGTGAATAGAGAAGTATAAGTGTATTGGTTTAACATGCCACCCACTTAGATTATCTGATAATATAATG